TCGACCTCGTCCACGGCTAGTTCGACGACCACGTCTAGCACTCATTTCGATGGATCTCAAGTTTAATACAGAAGATAACACTTAGGGTTAAATAAGCACTTTGAGTCTCGAACACAATTTAAAAATCTTAATAATTTTGTGACATGGCCTTTGTAACTTGTTTTGTAAAATATTTCAAAATCGTATTTTCAATATGGACTCATACACAGTCCGAGGGTTAAAAACGAAAAGCTCTGATGCCAATAAATGTAACCCCCTAGACCCGGCCTATGCGTTACGACTAAGTCTAGTGGATCACATACATGATTCTTAAAGACATTTTCTGAAACCGTTATTCAATCAATGTAAAATCACATTATAAATATCATGAAATAAATTATACTATCAAAACCTAACTAGTAAATATAATACCAATAAGTAATAAATTAATTTAAAACAGGTCTTCAAAATCAAAATCATGATAAACCAAACAGTAATAGCAAAAGTGTCATCATCATAAAATACAATACTTTAAAATAAGGTCTATGTCACCAAAATAAAGTCAATTTGCAAGATAAAACATTACAATCAGATATACTTTAAGAGATATGTTGATCCTCCAAGTGCTCGAACCGAGATATCTAACCAACAGTATCTGAAAGGGGAAAAAAACATTTTCGAAAGGTGAGCTAGGCTCAGTGTGTCCCAATATTACCTTAAAATCACCATAGGTACATTAAACAAATCATAGTCCAGTAAATCTCATAAATTCATAAAAGAGTTTAACTTTTTAAAATCATAGTTTAAACCCTTTTCTTGTACACCATCAGTAGTTCCCAAAACTATTTTCCATATAGCTTACTTTAAGCACACAGCAAAAAGAAAGCCAACCTAAGGATAAGCTTTAGAGCTTGTATCCTTAGGCCCGTAAGTCCAAGTCCATATAGCTTACCCTAAGCACACAGCAAGGGAAGCCAACCTAATGTATCTTGGGGGCCCCAAGAGTCACATTAGGCTCATTCTGTTTATTAGCTTGATCAGAGCTATACTATTGTAATTCAATCCAAAAGTTCAATTGCACCGTGTCACAAATTCTATAAATCATCACATTAAATTGGTGCATCAATAAAACAGTAACCAAAGAACTCAGTGTACCTCATATTAAAACCAATAAAACAGTTCAGTAATAATTAGGGAACACACCTCGATAATAGGTTCAAATAGTAGATCTACTGATTGCTGGTTTCACCACGCTCTGCTACAGTTTTCGAACCAATTTTATAATAACACTATATTACTTATGGGTAACATAAATAAATCTCTAAAATCATAAAATTTACGGGTCTTACGGGTGAATACTGGCACACGTGGTTTAATTGATCTAGAAGAGCTGGGTCGAGCTGTCGAACGATCCAGAGAGTCTCTTGTACCATCAAACAATAATAATTTATCAGTTCCAAATCTTACTTAATTGTTCAAAACTAAAATTCTTAAGTATATAAGCATTTTCAGGGTTTGACTATCAATTTGGAGGATTTTGGGTTTGAATTTGGCCAAACGGATTGCGGAATCGGAATCAGGACATCGAAAAACATAAAGTATGTCTTTTCGAAAATTTAAATTCTTGGTCAAAGTCAAAGTCAACCACTTTGACCGTCGATTTGGAAGCCTTCGGGTTCAAATTTGACAAAACGGACTTCTGAAACGGATTCGGGACATCGAAAACTATCAGAATAGGTATACTCGGAAAAGATTAACGGTCGTTTAATGGTCGGTCAAAGCCATTTTAAGTTTTGGTCAAAGGAAGTCAACGGTCAACGGTCGGGTCGGTCGGTCGATCGGGTCGGGTCGGTCGGTCGGGTCAGACCGGTTCAGACCGGTCAAAACCTGTTCAAAACCGGTCAAACCAGTTTTCAGCCACTCACTCACTCTCCCTGCGGCGGCGCGTGAGGCCTCCTCCGGGGGTCTAAAAATTGCGGAAAAATTTCTAAAAATTATTTTGAGCGATTTCGAGATACTTACTAAGATCGGTTCAAATTTTTGAACGGCGGAGAGCTCGATTTCAACTCGGCCGAATCTTTGACTGCTCCACCTCCTCACGCGCCGCCGTCGACGGAGACCAAGGTTGACACCGGCGGACTCGAAACGGAACAAGGAACACGATGGTGCGAGAGGTGTCGAAAACCGATCAACGATCGGAGATGAATTTAAGATTTTCTCGGCGGTAGTGCTAAAAAAACGTCGAGACTTTGACTCGAAATTCACGTCGTTTGGCAGCGTTTCGCTATAATTGATTTACTGGGTTTTGTTCACGGGTCGAAGATGAACACGATGGTGGTTTCAATTTGACGGTCGGAGGTCGAACGGCGTTGGAATCAGGCTTTGAAGTAGAGTGCGGGAGGAGGAATTTCACAATTGTTTTCTGTTTTGAAAACCGAAAACCATACATACGTATATATCAAATTTCCTGCCGACACTAAAAGGAGTAATTCAAAGCTTGGTCCCTGAATTTCCTTCACTTTTAATATTGCCTACAAGTTTTGAAAACTTTTAATTTAATCCCCAAATTTCACCAAATTACACCGATTTAAATTGTTTTTTTTTTTTCGGGTTGTTACATTATAACCGGTTGAACTATGATTCTGATCTTCACTTTGGCCATTGTCTTCCATGTTAACCATAGTGTCATTGCATCCATCATCGTCCTCGACGTACATGCCGCCACGTACATGCCGCCCTGGAACAGATAGTCTCCCCAGTAGCCTCCATGGCAATCATAATATTCCGATTGCCGCTCGTGTTGTCCATGGTAAGCCCTCTCTTCAAGGGAGTGAGGATCGGAAACAGGATAAAGATCGAACATATCGAACAATGAAGCTGGTTCATCGTTGGTATTGAACCAGGAAGTGTAGTTATGAATGGCAGATATTTCTACCATATCAGAATTGAAGTCCTCCATTGCTGCTAAAATAAGTATGATACTCCTTCAATAATATCGATATCGTTTTTATACAAAATGTATAAATTATATATTTAAGCTTTAGTTATACTATAATTATAATTTAGTCCCTAAGCAGTATCTCAATATAAAATTAATTCCTAAATGAAATTGATTTGATATGAACTATGATGCGATTGTATGATGTATTATTTAAATATTCTTGATTTTAGATCCTCCAATAGCATCTTTGATTTAGTTTTTTGTTTAGATTAAGTTAGAGGTATTAGAATTTAATTATCTATATAATACCAATCAACTAATCCATTATTAATATTCGATGGGGGAACTAATATGTAATTAAAAAATTATATAATTATACATTTGATCTTTATTATTTAGACATTTTATCAATTTAATTATAATTTTGGTTTAATAATTTTGATCTTTTAATCCTATGGTGACCATATAATTAGATGAACAATAAATTGAAAAGGAGTGATTTTATAAGGAATCAAACAGTGAGACTTTGAGTATGAGGTAAGTGTTACGCACAACCACTGGACTAAATCTCAGATTTTGAATACGAATTTTAATATTTTGTATATATTTTATATTGTTGTTAACTTAAAAAATCAAAACCTAGACCAATTGTGGATTATGAGAACACCTAAACCACTTAAACAAATTATTAAAAAAACCAAAACTCTCTCTCTTTCTCTATATATATATATATATATATAAATCAAACTATATGAAAAATTAAAATTATATTAAAAACCGTTTAACATATTCAAGCTCACAAGTAAAGCTCAAATCACAAGATAAATTTATAATTAGAATTTCAAAATTTTATCATAAAAAATTCTTTGAAAATTATTTATCATTGACTTATAATGCATTTTAATAACATGCGACAATTTACATTGTATATTTTGAACTACATAATTTAATAAAAAAAGTCAATACAAATTAATGAATTATATATTTTATTTTTAATAAAAAAATTTAAATAAATTTAAAACAATCAAATTAATGATCATGTGAAATTATAAAAATAAATGTCGAAAATAAAAATGTTAAATTTAATTTTAAAATATAAAAATATTAAATTTATGTTTTAAATATTATATATTAACTATATATTAAAATATACATGAAATATATTCAATTATAAATCAATTATTAAATTTATTTCAGTAATTTAGATGGTCTTATAATCTTGAAAACAAACCGAACGCACATAAATGGAGGTATGTTCATGTTCGTTCATTTCATAAATAAACGAACAATTTTTTTTTTGTTCTATCGGAGCCGTCTTTCGGTTGGGCCCTAAAATTGGACTTCGACTTAAATGAGTTGGAGTCGCCACCGATCACTTTAAAACGATATTTAGGTGGATCGGACACCATCTTACTTGATCTGTATTTTTCCAGAAATGTGTCGAGTTCGGGAGTCGGTTACGGTCAAAGAAGAATTAGCACCCTTAAACTGCCCTTTCGGTACCAATTAATTTGTCAGTTGTCTTTAAATGCGAAAATTAAAAATTTAAATTAAAAATTAAAAATTCGATTCGAACTGCTTACCTTTGATTGGTCAAAATTTCTCTAAAAAATAAAAAAAATATATAACAATTATATTTTCCTATATCTACCCTAGAAATGGTATCAATAAACCACGTGTATCATTGAAGGAAATCACATATGCCAATTCGAACAGCTAACATGGAAACATAATGCATGAAGTAATTAATAAAATATATATATATTATGAAATGTAAGTGCACGAAATAATAATGAAATATGTATATTTTATGAAATGGGGGAATTAAAGTAAAAAATCTCAACAACAAATTCATGCTATATATCCTTGTAATATTTGTATTAGGCAGGCCAAGTCTCATTATTTCCTAACTAAGAAATTAAGAAACTTACTATCAATTTTTAAATGACAACTTGGTGATCATGTGAGCCTTTTTAGTGACATGAACGTTGGTCTCCTCCCATAAAAAATTAAAAAGAAAAGCACACTGCACGAAATAATAAAATATGTATATTTTCTGAAATGCACACTAACCCATAAAACCATAATAGTCCAGCTAATTTGGTAGTTTTCCTTTTCAACATAACAAAAGCTTTTTCAAAAGGGGACTGTATTTGAACACCTGAACACCCTTCGTGAAGCAAAACATCGATTATCTTCGAAACTCTCCAGAGACCGGCGACTTTTGGACTCCACCACCCGTACAAGGTAAGAATCTTCCCATTTTCAGTATTTTTTCGTTCGAAATAACTCTTCTCTTGTATTTTTTCCTTTGTTCGAGACCCCCCCGAAATATTTCTAGTTTCTCTCGTATTTTTTTCGTGTAAACGTGTGTAAGTGCTCTATATTTCCCTCTCTATTCTCTCGTGTTTTCCTAGTATTTTTCGCGTGTAATACTTGAGTAAAACCGTGTGTTTTTGTGTGTAAATCACTCTGCCTGTTTCTCCCTAAAATAGTCGATTACAAAGGTATTTATAGGGTTCGAATGCCCCTATCTTTTGGTGTTTGATTCCTAGTGAGAAACTAACACCACGGTTTGTTTGTTGTTGATGGGTGTCGAGATCCTCGGTGATAGGCGTTGGCGCCGTGAAAATCGGGCGTTTGACCGAGGGACTCAGCTGAGCAGTGTGAGGGAGGCTTGCGGCGCTGACTTGGAAACGTAGTGAGGAGAAACTAGGGTTTCTAAACCCTAGTTCACCGGTTCGGAGCTCCAGGTGCTTCAGCGGGTCTTGGGTTCTCTGTAAAACGGGCTACTGATGCATTGAGCCACTGGGATTTGTTGGTCTTTGGGCAGCTTTGTAATAATTTTGGGCCATAGGTTCAGGCCTGTCACAATGTAAAAATAAAATAAATAATAACGTAAATATAATTTATAAATATATTATATGATGTATATCGAATGAAAGTGGACGAAATTTAGTATCTACATGTTCATGTTCGTTCATTAAGGAATATAACTTGTTCATGTTCGTTCATTTAAATGATAAACGAACATAAACGAACGTAAACGAAAACAAAAATAAACGAACATAAACGAACACAATAAACGAACATAAACGAACAACACAAACACAAAAAACAAATTTATTTGAACACAACAAATGAATGTAAAAAAAAGTAAACAACGAGAATAACAACTTAAAATTCATTAATATAACCTGCAACTTTAGAGTTAATTTGTTCGAATACGACAAAAACATACATAAATCATAAATAAGTTATATGAACGTAATAAAGTCTTAAAGTTAATTTGTTCAACAAAACAATCTTCTTGAAATCCAAACAACTTCAATAATCTTCGTAACACATTCAACTTGCTCTCTGTTCGAACATAAATAAACGAACATAAATGAACGAATATAAGCGAACATATAATCGAACGTTCACGAACGTAAATGAACGAACGAGCCCTTTGTTCGTGTTCGTTCATTTAATTAAACGAACGCAAAAATCTTGTTCATGTTTGTTCATTTAATAAATAAACGAACATAAACGAATTTCTCGCCACGCAGTTCATGAACAGTTCGCTGAACGTTCAGTTCATTTACAGGTCTATCTTCAAGTGACCTTACTTTATCAATTTCATTTCTTTTCTCTCTCCTACATTAACTACAATATAAAATATGTACAAAAATGTTATAGTCCATATCATAAATATAAGATTTGGTCCAATAGTTAGGGTGTACTCAATCCACCAAATTCCTAGGTTTAATCCCTCTCAACACTTTTAACTTAATAATTTTTTTTCTCAATCAAATGATTTGATTTAAAAAATTAATAAATTAATGATCAAATTAAAAGTTTTCATAATTAAATATTCAACTATATAATTTACCCTTAATTTTTCTCGCTTGCTTCAACACAGAGGAGTCCAAGGTGAGATTAGGGATGGTAATGGGTCGGGTCGGGTTTTTGGGCCACCCGACCCAACCCGAGAAGAAAGGGTTTTTCGCCCGTGACCCGACCCGACCCGATGAAATTAAGGTTTCACCCGACCCGACCCGACCCGAATATATGACTTAGAAACCCGACCCGACCCGAAATAATAATAAAAAAAATTTATTCAATGAAAATAGTGACTTAATTGAAAAAAATTATATATGGAGGGACATTATTGTAATTATCTCTAAATATATAGGATAAAATTATATATATTTTTCGGGTATGGTCGAGTCGGATTTTTTTCACCCTAAACCCGACCCGACCCGACCCGAACAGTACATTTAAAAAAAATCCGACCCGACCCGAACCCAATTTTTTTTTAAAAAAAATCCGACCCGATCGGGTCGGGTCAGATCGGAACCCGTCGGATTCGGGTTGAGTTGCCATCCCTAGGTGAGATAATGACCGTTAATTAAAAGTTAAAACCATGTTGAATTTCCTAAATACCCTTCACGAATCATAAATTTTCACGCCATCTCTCTGGCTTCATCGCGTAGATACATCCAAAACTATGGACGAATTAAAATCCTTCATAGAATTTCAGTTCAGGTCCTTCAGGATTACCTATTTATTGCTTATCCCCGCCTGGCCATTTATTAGTTTTTTTTAAAATAATTTTTGTTTAATAAAATACATCATAATTTCATAACCACTTTAAGAAAAATCAAAATCGGGAGCTGAAGGGAGAAGAAAAATAATAGAAAAGTCGAGACTACCTTAGAGTTGTCACGATTTCAAGATGCGAGATTGGACCTTCCTGGAAATCTCTTTTGCTCAATTTTTTTTATCTGTAAGGTTTTTGAAATGACTTTGACTAAAAATATATAAATACTTATAAATTAATGTTGAAAAGATTATGAATTAAGAAGAGTTTGATTCTTTAGTATCCAATCTCTTGTTTCTTTTGCATTGGCAGTCCCTCCGTCTGTTATGAATATTGTTTGACTGCTCTATAATTGTAAAATCAACGCTTATTTCTGTTTGGTTGTCGTGAAAATTGGTGAAGTAACTCGAGTTATTGGTGTTTCTTGAGGTTAAGTATTTCTTCTTTTGTAATAAATGTGTGCTGTTAACATTCTATCTTAGGATTTTCACTTAATATCCGTCAAAAGTGTGATTTCTAGTTTCTAGCTTGGCATGAAAGTGACGGCTGATTGATTCCCTGCTTTCCTTCTCTTCCTCTTTTGCGTTTCTTGCTGATTAAGTAGGAAGATTTTAGGGTTTAATCTTTGATTGGTTTGATTTTGAATTGAATGCAGATACCTCAAGTTAAGGAATAAATTTCGTTGAGAAGAAAGCAAGATTTTGATGATTGCGGTGATTTCTTGTGTTAATCTTTCTTTACAGAAAATAAAGAACCTGTATTTCGTTAGTTTTCTTTGAATTTTGCTGATCTAGTGAAGGTTTAGTCTTGACAAATGAATGTTGTTGGCAAAGTTGGGAGTTTAATTTCACAGGGTGTGTATTCTGTTGCTACTCCTTTCCATCCTTTTGGTGGGGCTGTTGATGTGATTGTTGTTCAGCAACAAGATGGGAGTTTCCGAAGCACACCTTGGTATGTTCGGTTTGGGAAGTTTCAAGGTGTTCTGAAAGGGGCTGAGAAGGTTGTTCATATAACCGTTAATGGCGTTGAAGCGGATTTTCATATGTTTCTTGATAATTCTGGGGAAGCATATTTTGCAAGGGAGGTTGATCCTTGTAAAGGAATTGAGACAGATGGTGATTTGAAAGATTCTGATGGTGAAGGTAATACAAAGATTGGTGAATTTTATAGACTTGAACATAGTGTCTCAGATTCTGCAGTGCTTCAGTTGAGGAACGGACTCGATTCCAGAAATCCAAAACGGTTTGAAAGGGCAGAATCTGATACTAGGTACTATGACTTTCAGGATGAGCAGTCAATGGAGGGTTCAGTTAATTTGTCAGAATATGGGTCTGGCAGATATGAGGGTTTAAATGGGGAGTGTTTTGGTGAAGCACAGGGTTCAGATTCAGAAGTTGTCTTGGTCAGTGTGGATGGCCACATACTTACAGCCCCAGTCTCAGCATCGGAGCAGAGTGCTGAAAATGTGCAACTAAGCACACCTCAGTTCCATCTAGGACCAGGTGAAGAACCTGACTTTTGTGAGGATAATGAGGAGTTTAGTTCAGGTGACAATGTGTGGGCTTCTGACTATATTAGTAAGCTCAATTCAGTGGCAGCTAAGGAACCCTCTGATAATATTTGCATATTGAATAGTGATTCTACTGCTTTGAACCATCCAGAAGTTTGTGAAAATGGGGTGGAACATGCCTGTCAGATTGAAGAAACTCCAAGCCTTTCTAACCATGTCCATGAAAGTGAAATGAATAAGCAAAGTGAAGTTGAAGATGCATCCATGCGTAACAAGGATGATATTTTTAAGAGCTGCCTTGAACTAACTGAATTGGGAAAGCATGGGGAAGACTTTAATTCTGAAGACATAATTAACCCATTAGAAGCTCAGATTTCACAGGATAAGCCTCCATGCCGCCTTCCAGACGATGATGAAACTGAAGAGGGAGCTGTTGGTGACTCTAGAAATAAAGATGTGTTGTCTTCCTTTTGTAGGCATAATTCCTCCCAAAATAATGGATCTCCTGATTTTCTAGTTGACGGTGAGCTAGTTGAAAAAGAAGTGCTGGCTACAAATCATACAGGTTTTAACAATGCGTCTGTTGGTTCTGTTAGTAATGACCTAGAACAAAAAGATGAACAATATGGTACATCAGCAGCAACCAAAGGGTTAAATAGCAGTGAGCAAAGTCCTACACCTGAGGACAAGAGTAGCAAAAGTGAGATTGTGGAAACTGAAACTTCTGGTGAAGAGGTAGAAACTCGTGCTAGCTCGGGTAAGGAATTAAGGACCCTAGGACCTTTGCCTCCTTTAATTGTTTTACACTATTCTTGCTCTAATTTTCCTGGAATACTCGGTGTCTTGTTTGAGAAAACAATGTCTCTATTTTCATTTTAATAAAATGTATAGAATGTGAGAGGAAGCATTTTTTGTTGTAAAAAATATAACATGTCTCCAAGAAAATGCGGAATTAAAATGGGCCAAAATTAAAAAACAAAATAAAATAAGGATGTTTTCAAAGAAACAAGTAATTTTAAAAATATCTTTTAGTTGTCACTGCAAGCCATCTAGTACCCAGGCCCAAAGCACCAAATATGCAAGATTATTTTTATTTATTTTTGGCTGTTATTGTATGCAATCTAAAGACAATAGTCATATATTCACTCTAATTAGTACCCCAATACTTTGACATCTAGCTTTGGTCTTTTGTGTTTTATGGAAAAAAGTTGTCTTTGTTACTACATCTGTAGAGTTTGATTTGGGAAAAGAATATTTGTTATTTTTCTTGATAGTTGTTAACATTATGAAGTACCTTTTTTTATTGAACTCTTATGTTTATTAGTATTTTGTTTTTATCATTCTAGCGAATGCTTTATGCTTTTATGTTTTAATTTTGAAAATGCACATACCAAATACATTTTCCCTATTTTATTATCTGAAAACATGTATTCCTATTATTTAACAAACTTGTTTTTGAAAATTTATAAAATAAAAACAGAAAATATTTTCTCAAACCTATCATAGTCTTAGCTTTTCTTGCTCACCATATATCCAGGATTTGAGATCTCAATCTGTGGAAATGAACTCCATGCGGGTATGGGTCAAGATGCTGCAGCAGAAGTCTTTGAAGCATACCGCATATCACACGAGGAATATAAAAATAATGCAATGTCAATTATTAAGAATGCAAACCTAATCGTCCGGTTTGGAGAGAGGTATTTTCTGTGGGAAAAAGCTGCTCCTATTGTTCTTGGAATGGCTGCATTTGGTTTAGAGTTTGATGTTGATCCCCAAGATGCAATCCGTGTTGAACAAAATGAGTCATCAAATCCAGAGAACGATGATTCTACAGTCACGTCCACGTCCTCTGGTCGTAGATGGAGGCTCTGGCCTATTCCCTTTAGAAGGGTCAAAGCACTTGAGCAGAACCACAGCAATTTATCCACTGAGGAGGAATTTGTTGACACCGAATCAACCTTACAAGATTCACCAGCAGGTACTCCAGCATCCAGTGGGAGGATTGAATCTCCACGGAAGCAATTTATTAGGACAAATGTTCCCACTAGTGAGCAGATAGCTTCCTTGAATCTGAAAGATGGTCAGAATAAGATTACTTTCAGCTTCTCAACCAGGGTTCTAGGAACACAACAGGTTTCGATTCTCTACAATCAATTCTTCCTTTAGGATTTCAAGGGTTTTTTTACTGACCAAATTTATCCTCCTAAACCTATGCATCTTTAACAGGTTGATGCTCATATATACTTGTGGAAGTGGAATGCAAAGATTGTAATCTCAGATGTTGATGGAACTATCACTAAGTATGGACTTTTGTATTCTAAGCTCCCTTTTGATTATTATTACAATATATATTCTGGAAATGGTGGATAATTTCCTTACTATACATCATTATGATATGAGTAGTAGATTAAATTGGACTTTAAAAGTAGAGGAGCAAATTTTAATAAACCATTTACTTATATTTAAAGCTGAAAATATTCTATTATGATCTTTGGTATTAAAGCAGCAATATGTATTTATGGAAGCTGTGACAACCTATTTGATGTGTGGTAAATCTTTCCTTTGAGTATGTTTCAATCATGTATAGTTTTAATACAATGTGTTTTTCAATAACCTTTGACACATCCCCTTCAGGTCTGACGTTTTAGGCCAGTTTATGCCTTTAGTTGGAAGGGACTGGACACAATCTGGTGTAGCTAAACTTTTCTCTGCCATTAAGGTATGCGTTTTTTCTCATTTGTTTCAATATTCAGTTTGACTTAAGTGATTTTATATTCCTTCGCCAGGTTTTAGAATGCAAGTCTAGGAATAACATTTGACAACCTTTGTATTATGATGATATGAAACATTATCCCGTTACCATTATTGTTCTTCTTGACCATTTTCATTTGTGAAATTTATATTGCACTTCTTAGATGCCGCGATTGATAATTTTTTTCAGAAGTTGTATCCATGTACATCCACCTTTCTCACTAACATTTATGTGCAAATACAATATTGTTTCTAGGGAAAGCTGAGTTTAGTTATCCCATCACTTGGTGATTCCTTTTGAATGATAAATTGAGGCAGTGCAGTTGTTTATTAAATTTTTATTAGACCAGTGTGGGTCTTGAATTTATTCCATTAACATATGTTGACATGCTTGTGCAAATCGACTTCCTTGGGTATCTGATGTCAAATACTGAATTGTTTGGTCACAACAGGAGAATGGGTATCAGCTGCTATTTCTGAGTGCACGAGCAATTGTTCAGGCATATCTAACGAGAAGTTTTTTAAACAACCTGAAACAGGTAGAAAAGTACTCCAGGTTTGCTGCGCTTAAGATAAACTTCTTCACCTTCTATTCTATTATTTGCCTTGTGGCCAAAGTAAAGTATCATTTGCCTTTACATCTAAATATAACTTCTACACTTTCCTTGTGAAAGCAGAAAGGCAATAGCTAAAGTAACAACTAAAGAGATATGCTAACATTTCAAAATCAGCATCCCCATTAAAAGGATTTTGCTTTGAAATTGTGAGTTTGTAAAAGTTTTTAACTGATCGGTTTGCGTATATAGGATGGAAAAGCTTTACCGAATGGACCTGTTGTTATTTCTCCTGATGGCTTGTTTCCCTCATTGTATCGTGAAGGTGAGGTCTTGTTTATATATATATATATAGTTTATGCATTGAAGTAATCTATTTTGTTGTTTTGACCATTTACTAATATCAGAATCTTTAGGCTGTACTTTTAGTTGCGTACATTCATTCTGATTCATTCTACCATTTCCGCATTTTATTCATGGCAGTGATAAGAAGAGCACCTCATGAATTCAAAATAGCATGTTTAGAGGTAAATTCTCTTATACTCATCCTTGTTTCACAATGTAGATCAAAATAGTTACCATGATAGGATCGGTCTTTTCACTTTGGGTTTCTTTCTTATTAAAGGATATCAAGAAACTTTTTCCCTCCGACTACAATCCATTTTATGCGGGCTTTGGAAACAGAGACACGGATGAGCTGAGCTATAGAAAAATCGGGATTCCGAAGGGCAAGATTTTTATCATCAATCCAAAGGTATACATGCTTTCTATGTCCTACTCATGGGGAAAAAAGGAACCATAATCAGTAATGAGGTTACCATATCAACTTTCTAACAGTCTGACTTGAAACTGGCAGGGTGAGGTGGCTATTAGTCATTGTATTGACGTGAAGTCATATACATCATTGCACACTCTCGTTAATGACATGTTCCCACCAACTTCATTGGTCGAACAGGTAGAAGGATATTTTCTTGCCTCTGTTTAAATCTCCAGGACCTCATTTGGGAACTCCCTGGGAGTGCATCCCTGATATTCCAATACCTTTGCAGGAAGATTTTAACTCCTGGAATTTTTGGAAAGTGCCATTGCCCAATATCGAGTAAGACAGGAAGTAGCATAAAGGGCACTTGCGATCAAGTTGACATAAAGAGGAGATTTTTGATGCCTTACACTTTACCTTCTTTTTAGTTTTATATTCATTGGTGACCTTCAAATGATTGTAGGGATTGATAGATAGTTGAAGCGAATAGAATCAAAAGTCATTGCCTTCCCACATAGCTGTTCTGTTCCTATAGAGGTTATCGTTTATTTCATAGACTTTATAAACTTCAATAATATAACAAATTTTACATTATACCTTGTTTGAGTATATTAATTTAAACGTTTGTAAGTGTATATATCCTTTGATAGGTAGCACAAATGTGATTATTTTTTTCCATAGACATATTTGTTGCTTATAGTATTCATTAAAAAAAAGTCGTTTTTCAGTTAAAAATAAGAGAAGAAGAAGAAGAAATAGGCTAATGGATATGAATAGCAGTGTTTTTTTAATTCCCTGAAATTTAGATGGACAAAAATGGTGGTTAAAAAGGAAAGTATGAAAGCGAAAGAAGAGGCAAGGGACTCGAACAATGCGGGAAATTACAAAAATATTCACGTCAACGCCCAAATCGTGTTTCTCCATTCACCAAAGTTTTAGTTTTTTTTTATTTTATTTTATACTGTCTTGACTTGGTTTCTCCCCCTTCCTTTCGACGCTTCACCAAACATGCAAACGAGAACAAGTTTCTATCTTTAGGAATTTTATAGGGTTCTTTGAGCTTGGAAGAAAATGTCATGGATAAGAACGGCGGTTAGTAGAGCGGTGGAAGCAGGCGGGAAGAATGCCCTGAGGCGCACCGTATTGAGTGTTGCCGGTTCCGTCGTCTTCGGTGGAGCCAGGATGATCCATAAACGCGTTGTAAATTTCACATTTCTCTCCCTCCTCCAATTTGCCATAGTCTAAATTTTAAATTGATGTCCTATTTATGAAGCCCTTTTATCATTCCGTTTCTAGGCATTAAATGCCAGTTCGAATATTTTAAACATGCATATCGGAATTTGCATTTGATGCCTAAGCTAATAGTTATGGTGACAGGATACAGTAGATGGAAGAAGCGATTAAAACGCTTCCAAGTTTATTTGTGAGTTTGGTGCAATTAATCCTTTCAATTTTAACAGAAAATTTGATTTGTTTATTTTACGTTAATTATCAGGCGGCGAAGAAAATGCAGAGTCTTCGAATAACGGTAAAGAGACTTGAAGAAGTTTCGGTATCATGTAAAGGAGTTGAAAGGGCTCAACTTCTAAGACGATGGCTGGTCGCCCTTAAAGAAATCGACAGATTATTTACAGATCAAAATAATAAAAAAGATATAAGTGATGATAATAATGATAATAACAATGACGACAGCTGCGGCACTACTGCTAAAGATAATATCATTAGCAGTGCTAATGATAATGACGACACTGTGGATAAGTTTTCTTTCGAAGAGATCAAGGATTCAACCCCAAAGCCAACTTTGGTCGGTAATCCTTTCGGAGTTTTTTTTTAACTTTATATTATCATTAAATCAGTAATTAAATATATTTATATGTATAGTTTGTTCATCTTTCATCATTTTAGCTGTTGATTACAGGTGTATTACTATGACCCTGAGATTGGAGAACCAATGAATTTTCGGGAGGTTTTTCTGTATAGTCAAGCTCTCGAAGGGATGGCATTGTCAATGGTAAGTTCTACATGATTAATGACAATGTTTCCTTTTGGTTGGTTGCTTTGGAAATTACTTGTAAAAGTCAATGAAAAAGAATCAAGGAACACATCTATTTTTTTCTGTGTGTATATATATATATATATATCATGCCATATCTACATGTATTAATAGACTGATATACTGATTGATATTGCAGTTAGGGTGTATCATAATCATTTAAGAACCAGAAAAATGAGTTTCATACATGTCTGGTGGTTTTGGCAATCTTCTTTTTAGAAACCTGTAACAGTATGATATTCAATTTTCCGTTTTGGATAAAGCAACATTTAGTATCTGAACTTGGCAATTTCCCCCAACTTGGTCCCTTTACTTTTTTCTGGTCCACATTAATCCCAGGACTTAGCAACTTTTCCCAACTTGAATTCCTTTAAGGACTAAAATGTGTGATGAAATTCAAGTTTAGGCACCAAGCTGGGGAGAAGTTGCTGACTTCATGGATTAATATGGAGCAAAAAAATTTGAGGGACTAAGTTGGACAAACTTTCCAAGTTCAGAGACTAAATGTTGCTTTATCCTTATTGTTTCCGCTGCACTTTCATGTAACTTTGTCTGCTTTGCATATTTGGCCTTTGTATTTGCCTGATCGATTGAGTTTAACGCAGGGTAACTCTTTTGTATGACTCAGATTCATGATGCACCAAATGAGGAAGAGGTTTCGCTATTTATGGAAATACTTAGGTGATTTTTCCAACTCTTTTTGTTGCTTCTGAGTTTTTGGTTTTCCATATTGGCCTAATTAACCGCTTAAAAATTATTTCCCTATCAATTATATGGAGAGAAGAGAATTTGTTTCATAAGAATCATATGTTTTTTTGTCTTTCTATTATTCGAATTGCTAGTAAAGTGGATTGGTTTGGTCATATACAGGATCTGTATTGCAGGAGGGAAGGAAGTTCATGAGACAGTAATGAGCAACATAATGAACTTAGCAGTGGCATTCTCAAACTATCAGGAGGAAGTATTGGTAAGTACGTTTCATATATGTTAACAACAGATTGGAGTTAATCTAACATATATATATATATATATATATATATATATACATGTATTGACTCTAATACGTTATACCTTAACCTGACATAAGTATGATGCCTTCTTTATTTTTGTCCCTATTATTTCTTGCAGATAAAACGAGAAGAATTGCTCCAATATGCTCAAGCTGCAATTAAAGGGCTCAAAATAAATGTTGGTCTTGCAAGGTGACTAATGAGTCTATAACACATACATATATATTGGTGTGTTTATAATGTTTAATCCGAAAATTTTCCCTTTACAAGTTACATCCTTGATCTTTTATTACATAGCCTTGCATTTTGAGTCATGGTATTTGTAATTGATGTAGTATAAGTATCTTGAATCTTTAAGGGGTTTGATTCTTAGTTTCTTGTTATAAAGCTCATGAAAATCCAGGTGTGAATGTCGATCTTTCTATTAATATCATTTTTCTTTGTTTTGTAATACAGATTTACTATCATTTCTTCACATGTTTAAGAAATCATTAACATTTGTAAACATATTTAGTTTTAATAAAATAGGAACAAAATGTAATCTTTTCCCTTGGCTTGTTTCTGTGTCTGCTATCAGAATAGATGCCGAGGCCTGCAGTCTAAAGGAAAAACTTGGGGAAATGATGGCACTCCTGAACTCTTCAAGTGAAGGTCATGGAGAACTTTCTGAAAAACAAACTGCTGCAAAGATAGAGGTGAAAGCTTTGATATCATAATATTCACTTTAGCTCTCATGACTGTCATTTTTGTATATTTCACTGATCCACAGGTATTATCCGATAGCTAATAAATCTAATAGTTCTTATCATCTAATGATTCAACAAACCGAATGCTCTGATCTTTCCTTGTAGGCTCTTAAGGAAGCTCTTGGCTTTATCGGGCTATATTCCAGATTGGAGGCACTATTACTCAAGAAAAAATCTTTAACCAATGGGGATACTCCAGAACTTCATGCTGAAAAGGTACCATTCTTCCACCTCATATCGCTTTGTTTATGACATATAACAATTAGTGAATTGCAAAGTATTCAAGATTTCTGGCTAAAAACTAGTGCTTCGCTTTCAAACATGGACAAGACTCTGCACAGGTAATTGTCTTGCGAATATTTAAGTACCCAAAACTTCATATTTAATCCTCTTATTCCATCTCTCAATAACAAAATTTTTCCATACCCACAATGTAAGATTCTTGGCCTCGTCCCCGACTCTAAAGTCTTTTTATGAAGAGCTTAATGCAATCCTATTATACAGCAAGTGACTGTTATCTGCTGTATCATTTTGCTGCTAATTTCACCTGATCTACCAGTTTATTCTAATGAAAATGTCTTTTTTACAATCTCTTCTTGGAAAGATCTGTTTGGAAAACCAAAATCCATTCAAAGGTAAATTAGAGATAAGCTGTTGAAAATGAAAATAAGAACCCCAGAACGATGTCATAATTTTCTGACTACTTCAACTTTTAATTAGCTATTAACATATGGTCCATTTTTGTTGCAGGTCGATAAATTAAAAGTTTTATCAGAATCTCTCGTTAACTCAACATCAAAGGCTGGAAGGCGCATTTCAGAGCAAAGGTTTTAAATGGAACTTAATATTTCCTGCTTGGAATAGTTCCCTTTTAGTTTTTTATATGTGCACTAACCTTTCAAGGCTTACTGACATTGTGTTATTTAGTTTGATAATTGGATCATGTTTGATTTTATGGTTTATTCTTGGAAGTTATTGGAGTGAAGTTAACCTATGTGACTTGGATATGAGTGTGTATCAGATACGGGTATGTGTCTGGCATGGGTTTGTTCAACTTTTTTTTTTTCTATTTTTTCCATTCATTTGGAGGGTCCTTGGAGGATCATATTCCATACCCATGTCCGAAAATGTCTCATATATGAGTATGGGATATCTGTACTTTAAGAAACATAAAGACTAGGAGCTAAAATGAAATGAACTAAAACTAACATGAATCTGGAAATTTGCATGTGATAACCAGTTGTGCTGGTTAGGTTCTCATTTTCGTGCAACGGTAAATGTAATATTCCTATATATGTCAAATAAGGGAAATCCATTCATTCAATGTGTTTCAATCAGGGTTCAGAAAGAAGAAGCAATTAGCTTTCGTCTTGCTAAAGCCAACGAAGTCAGCCAACAAGAGAAGGTATTAATTATCAAGGGAAGCTCTTTTCTTTTCTAATCATAATATCAAGTGAAGAACTTCACATAATCGTTCACTTTGAATGCTTTCTTCCTGGAATACATAGAGGGCATTGATCTCAAGGCAACGTCTATTCTTCTCTTCTCTTTTTCAATTTAATAATGAAAGTTTTCCAATTATCGTCTGTGGATCGGTGGTGCTTTTCAACTGATTTCTGATGTATAACATTTTGCAGATTGAACAATTTTTTCCCTTTTTTTCAAAAGTTTCTTTCTTTACTATAAATAAGAAATATAAAAAATAATTGATATTGAATTTCCCAGGAACTGGAAGCTGGGATTCTAGATCTTGAGAAGCACAAAACTGAACTTGAAGCTGAACTTAGAAAGGTTTATCTTTAATACTTATAATTCTCAGAAAACTTAATTCTTTTCTGAATCATTTATCATCTGTTATTACTCATTACATAGATAGTTAAGTTTTAGTTTTGCACTTCTTTTTATTTCTTCTTTTAGTGTATATACATATAGGTATTTGTCCAATACTGGTATGTTCAGTATGTCTATTTTTCCATGAGTTTATAGAGTCCTTAGTGGATCATATCATTGTCACTATGTTTGAAATGTGCCAGACACAAATATCAGACTCTGGATTTTAAGAAAAATGAAAGTTGAACATAGGATACATTAGCCTGAAGGGGTTTCTCCACATTTTCAAGAGTGGGATTATGATATGGTTATGAATCTGGTTCAGGTCAATGCATCACTTGTCTGTGCTCGTATACGCCTTCGCAATGCCAGGGAAGAGCGAGAGCAATTTGATGTTGCCAGTAACCAGATTCTATCACAACTAGCATCAAAGGTATATTTTCTTTTAAGTACCAATTAGATGATACGCTTTTACAAGTAGAACTCTCTCTATTCATATTCAGAAAATTGCTTTCTGTCTCCTTTGTTCGTAGGAAGAGGAAATATCGAAATCGATTGCTTCATGCCAAGTAGAAGCAGACGTTGTTAATGTGTGGATTCATTTTCTGGAAGATACATGGAATCTTCAAACCACCTACCTTAAGCAAAAGGAGAAGCAGGTCATGTATGTACATCTCCTTTCTTCTAACCACCTATTGAATTGATGCTACCATTTCTATCGATTGTTTATCCCATCATTACTCGACCCCAGAGTGTGGTTGTCGGATAAAGTATATGCTGACCAACATAGATTTATCCTTTTTAAAACAAGAAATGGTTGCAATATCACCATGTGTCATTCTGGATTGATGTTACCACTTCTATTGACTTTATCCCTATGTTAATCCAACCCGGCTGTGTGTGTCGGATAAGGGTATGTATTCAACATAGGTAAGTTCAATTTTCAAGCTTTTGCATGTATTTGGAAAGTACTTGAGTGCTATACCCCCATACTCCGCAATAAAACAAGGAATAGTTGCAACATCACAATCTTATCATATCTCTGAAATTTTAATTTCTTACGTAGAGTTCTGATTTTCTTTTCTTTCCTTTTCATTTTAATTTGCTAGTGGTGAACTAGAGAGATATGGAGAATATTTTGTGAATCTGGTCACTCACCTTCTAACTGCTTACAAGGTATTCTTATCCATGAAAGCTGGTCAAAAACTTAATGATATCCTGTAATTCGTATTCATTTCCAAGGAGTCTCTTGCAATATATATCCCTCATTTTTATTTGTTTTATATCCTATATTCTTAAGGAACAACTCAGACCTTCCCTGACAAGAATTGGGCAACTGGTGGAGACCTTGGCCTCAACTGAAAGGTATAATTGTATGTTTCTTTCAAGTTTTCAGTTTTAGATTAACTCAAGCTTTGCATGATTCTTTTAATCAATCAGGTCAGGAGAAACAGCTAATCTTAACCAAAGAAGAAGTCTTGAAGAAGAATATTTGAGCCTTGAATCCAAAGTATGTATCAATCTCATCCAGAACATATATATATATATATATATATATATGAGTTAGGATTCACTTACACAGTGTAAAAATTTTACACGTTTTTTAGATCGTTGAATTAACTGAGTTTAATGGCTGAGACTAAAACTTCTAAATTGAGAATCATCCACTTCTTTTTACATATAAAAATCTCATTTTCTATTGTTTATCTCAGTCATCTATTTTCAATCGTCCAAGGATCCAAAAAAAGCGTATAAAACTAAGTTTTACAATGTGTTAATGATTCCTATCCCCCTCGATATAAATATATGTATGCAGTAGGCAAAATATCAATTTTATCATATTAAGAAATGACAATGTTCTAAATTGGTCTTTAAACTCCAAAACATGCTAATTGAATCCTCGAAGCATCCGTATCATACTAATCAAGTCCTTCCACCATCCTTGGCATTAGCTTTGGGCGTTAAATGCCAACTCAGATTTGATGTGAAGCATATTTGAAATACAGAAGCAAATTTTAAACACCTGTGCACCTATTCTAAGAAGAGATTGGATCTTGCGTGTTAAAAGAAAAAACGATGACATTACAATTTGATGGGTGCAAGGTTATGGATAGGCCGACGGAAGGACTTGATTAATATGATACCAATACTGATACTTTGAGAATTTAATTGTACTATCTTGAAGTTTTTGATAAATTTAGAATTTGAATCATAGTTTGAGTGCGTCTACGGAATTAACCTTGGTTTTTTCATTTTTTTCAGTTTGTAAGTACCTTTAGCGTAGTGGGTTCCATGAAAACACAGATTTATTCTCCGAATGAAGGAACTTACAGGTAAAGAACTCCATCTCGTTTTTCTTTTCCCTTTATGAACGTGGAAATATGTTACATTGCATTCCCGTTGATGTTACTTGGCCACCATCCAGGAAGAAAGATGACAGGCTGAAGGAGCTATTTGATGATCTTGAAAGTGTAAGGGAAGAATTTGAATCCATTGAGAGACCAATTTTAGATCTTGAAAATCCAACTGTAATATCAGAGTCGCCATCCACCAAGTCGCCGCTAAGTCCGTGGTTCCGATTGAAGTCTTCATTAAAAAAATCAGATCAAAGGAGGCTGAAATTCGAGGTGGAACATGACGACGAAGAAAATTCAGATTATGAAACGGATGAAATCGTAGAATGGGAATACGATGCATTCGAAAAGGACCTAATACCCAACTAACCAACCAAATATTTGCCTAATTTATCTGGTTTGCATTATGGCGCTAACCATTATTGTTTCAAAGGTTAGGAAAAAAAATGTGTAAGATAACTCGTTACTTAAGCAAAAGCTGCTGCCATTAGAGGAGCTGATAGTTCTCTGTATTTGTATTGTCAAATGTTGTGTACATTCTTCGGTTTTTGTTTTATATACTGAAAATGTATAGATAACTCTTCAACAAATGTAATTTTATATATATTTTTATTAAAATAAGCTGTTCTTAATGTTCTTCAAACCCTATGATTGTAGCATTTCCCTACTTTTTTTATGTTAAATTTGTCAACAATTCACAAGTAGAAGGGTATTGTTTTATATATCAATCCTCGGGATTATCCAATATATATATATATATATATATATATATATATATATATAAGAAAGATTGATAGTATGGGAAAGTATTTAATCGAATTGAACCAGTTATGTTTAAAAGGTAATTTTATTCATATTGTAAACTGAAAGCATCAATTTTATCTTTATTTTTAATTATACTAATTTTATCTTTGACTAACATTGATCGTTATGGTATTTAACATGAGATCCATGATGACAAGTGTAGACACTCATTTTCTTTCGAGACTCGTTTAGAAAACGGTTTAAAAAACAAATAATATATATTTTTTTTAAAAAAATTGGTTTTTGAATATATATATATTATATAGCTTTTTAAAACATTTTGAATATATAAATAATATATAATTTTAAAACATTTTGAAAACACATATTATATAGTTTTTAAAAAATTTTGAAAACATATATATATATATATATATATATATATATAGTTTTTAAAATATTTTGAAAACATATATAATATATAGTTTTTAAAACATTTTGAAAACATATATATATATATATTATATAGTTTTTAAAACATTTTGAAAAAATATATATATATATTATATAGTTTTTGAAAACATTTTTTAATATATATAATATATAGTTTTGAAAATGTTTTCTTAAATTTTGAAAACATTTTAGAATATATATATATATAATATATATTTGTTTTTTTTTATTATTTATTTTTCGTTTTATTTATTTTAATTCTTTCTTTTGTTTTTTTCCTTTTCAGGTCCAACTCTAAGTCCAGCAAGGGTCCAAGTCCAACAGGCCAAGACCGGGTAGCCCGAATACCCAGCGGGTAAACTGGGTAAACAAGAGACTCGAGATGTGTTAGGGTTCTCAACACCAAGCAAACAGTGTCGCCGACCACAACAGAAACCACGCGAGAAATCCAGTAAAAAACCGGCCATGAAATAACCAAGGCAGTGAGTCCCGACTAAATCGGGACTGACCCATCCCGTTTTAGCCGATCAACCACGAACGATCTACAATAGTAAGATTGGAAAAGATCCCGAGATAGTCAGGAACGGCCACCGGTGAAGGGGATATAAATACCCCCCACCAAGCCACCAAAGAAAAAGATCGAACCAACGGAGGAAAAACAAAACCCGAGAACCAACATCAGAAACACAATGAAACACAAGTAACCAAGAACAAAAACACAGCCAACAAGGAAAATACAAAGATATAAAGTCGAAACGTCAAAAACAAACAAAACCATTGAATAATCGAAACACAAAGCAAATATATCAAGGAAATAGCATCTGAGGCAGCCAATAAGCCTTGATAATCATAAGGAGCCCTCGGTGAGCGTCGGAAAGGGAATGGTCACCGGAAAAACGAAAGGTCAGCCAAAAAAGGTAATAAAAAACGAGAGTTTTACCTTAGATCTACGTCGATTGGGGCTTCTTTGTGGGAATCAGACTTTGGATTTGTGTTCACAGGATATTGAGGATCATTTTGAGGTAAGTTTGATTTTTTCGGCCGCCGAAGCGATGATCGGCACGACGAAGGGGGCCGTCGGAAGTTACCCAATCTTCGGCCGGATAGTTTTGGGGAGAGGATTTGGGATAATTTTTTGAGGTTTTTTTTTGTGTTTGGTTAAAATGATAATTTTTTTGGGCTATTTATAACCGAGGGACATGTGTGTAATTAGCCAATAGTTAAATTATTTCCGCAATCAATGGACTTTTGAAGTATAATTCATTTTTTTATATGTTTCAATTTTGCCTCCGAATTTTCAATTTATTTAATTTAATTCATGTTTATACTTTTTATATTTTACAATTTAATCCCTCTAACTCTTTATTTTTCTCTTGTATCTCATTTTTAGTACCAATTTAATCCATTAATTTCAATTTGTTTCAATTTGACCCTCTAAGTTTTTATTTTATTTATATATATATATATATATATGTATTGAAAATTATTTTTTTACTTCATATTGTTTTTTATTTTTTTACTTTTAAAATTTAACATTTTTTTATTTTTTTCATTGATTTATCTATTTTTTATTATTTATTTATTTTATTTTTTTTGATGTATTATTATTATTTTATTTTTTTTATGATTTCTTTCTCTTTGATTTATTTAATATTTATTTATTATTATTTTATCTAACATTTTCAACTTTTTAGAGGAATTCTAACTAATCAAAGGTAAGTAATTTGAATCGAGTTTTTAAACTTTAATTTTAATTTTTCGCAATTAAGACAACCGATAAATTAATTGGTACCGAAAGAGCAATACAAGGATACTAATTCTTTCTTGACTGTAACAGACTCTCGAATCCAACATATTTATGATAAAACGCAAATCAGTAGCGACTCTAACCCATTTTTTTCAAGTCAAAGCCTAAATCCGGACTAATCTAAAAGACGGCTGTGACAACAAGGATCTAGAACAATGGTTCAAAAGTTAAAAGCAAAAGAATGGGTGAGCTAAGTTACCGGATGATGGGGATGTTTGATGAAGATGGCAATGGTCGCGCAAGAAATGAAGACATCTCTTAACAGTGAATAGCCCAGGTAATACTGTTATGGTACTTGGTTCCTTTTTTTAATCACCGAGTAATTAAAATAAAAAAAATTACATTTAAATAATTTTATTAATTTAAAATAATATAAAATAATTATTTATATAAATCTCTGACCCTATCATCCAATAAAAAACGCCTAACGCACGGTTGTATGGGAAAAACTTTTTCCCTACATGACCTCAGAAAATACCCTGGAATCATGTGCTAGAAAATAAGTGTCATTTCTATAATTTATTTTTTTATGTCATTTACTTATATAATTACCTGAAAGGTGTTATTTAAATAATTTTACCCAAAGAACCACTCTGTTTAGCCCTATCGCCATCACTACCCAAAACTAAAGGTCAGGTTGACCATCAGTTTCTAGTTTAACACGGAACGACAAATGAATCCATATAAAATGAACTTGAGTTATTATTGGTGTTTTTCCGATATATTACCTTTTGATTTTATATTTTTCTATCATGTACCCTTCAGACTATTTTTTTTGATCTAACACCATTTGCAGTAAAACTCGCCCCCTACAGCACGCTTTACGTCGATCTGGTGCCATGTGGGGTATACCGCGAGACAGAGGCCGCGCTTTACCTTTAAATTTGACACGCGTCGCGCCTTAGGTTTAATTACACACCTACCCCCGACCGTTCACACCCCACCCCCTCCCTATAAATATCCCTATTTACAATCACTTTCATCACACCAAATCCTCTTAACTTCTCTAATATTCTATTTTGATTGTTTAAGGTATATTTTATTATATTTAATATTTTGTTTTTAATTTATTTAAGTATTTACATTTTTTTAATATTTTATTTAATTATTATTTTTTTTGCATATATAAAATGGAAGGTCTACTTCGCTTGGATAGAAATCATATATCGCGACATTTTACTGATACAGTAACATTTTAACGTTTTAATATAATTTAAATTTTTAGTAATAATTTATTTAATGCATGATTATTAGTTTAAAAATTAATTTTTGTAATTATTGTAATTATTAGTAGAGGTTGGATTCAGTCACATAGGTATATATGAGGGTCACTGTAAGATATAACCGACTTTATTTCTGCTTTAGTAGAGCGGTGAAGGCCAGAGACCCTCACATTCTATCTTTCGTGCGAAGAGTGCACGATTACACTTGAGGATGTTTCTATGCACCTGTAGCTTCCGGTGGATGGAGATGTGATATCGAAGATGACACACGGTTCATTGACTGCTTTGGAAAGTTTTAACGGTGGTCGGATACCGTTAAATTGGTTAGATGTCAATTTTCGGGAGTTAAGCGAGAACGCCTCTGATGATGAAGTTAAAATGTATGCACGGGCATGCATACTACAACTGATATGAGGGTTGCTGATGCCAGACAAATCGTGCAACTAAATTCACTATATGTGGTTGCGAGATCTTGGCGACTTTCGTCTGGTCGAATCACTCAATTGGGGCTCAACAGTTTTAGCTTTTCTGTACAGGGAGATGTGTCAAACCACTAACTACAAGAAAAACGCTATCGGCGGATGTCTCCTCCTGCTGCAATCTTGGGCATGGTATCGATTACTTTTTTATGTCCCGTTGTCAAGAACTCATTCGTATTTCTGCTACTCTTGAGATAATTATAAGACTGATTTCGTATATTAATCATTTTATACAGTGTATAATAAATTTTATTTTCCTTGAATAGGCGGTCTACTGATAGGAAAAATCATCAGGAGCTACCTGATGATTTAGAAAAATTAGGGTGTTAATCGATCAGAAGGTTGGCACACAGGTACACCTTTTAATGTTTAAAAATCGATTTTAGATTATAGTTGTATAATTAGATTATTATTTTGATAAAAATTATATATATTTGTTTTAGTTTGAATGTGTCATATTCTAATGATGATGTGAGGATGGTGATCCTACCTGAGTTGAGGGGCTCATTAGATGTTTGGATGGCGATGGTCCCTTTGATTGTTATGCGATCGTCGAGTGACACTCCACTGATCGCGTGCTCTGAACTTTTGGTTGTTTTCAATCAATTCCGGAAGCACCTTGCAATATGGACAAGTTGGATAACACAGATAGACGCGGCAAGACCGATACAGATTGGCTGGTAAGGCATCATGAATGGGTCGTGTTGTGGGAGGATCGACGCCTTCCCCGTAGAGAGCCCAGTTTTACTGACCTCTTGATGGTTGTTACGAGTGGTTCAACAGTAACGGGAAACCATTTCTGCTTTCCGAGAATGCACGAGGGCGGACCTTTCAGCGACGTCGACAGAGACATTCACCGACACAGCACCATCGTCCCTTGACTCGTGGACGGAGAGCATGTGCTTCCGGTTCATCCTTAGCTGAACCAGCAGGACCTTCACAGCAGCCACCGTCTACAGCGACTTACCTTCTGCAGCCATATGTGATGTTGCCATCGCCGTTCCCTTACTCGATGTCGCCGCCACTGTCACCTGATTTTATGTCCCCCGCCACCGTCACAGAGTTTTATGACCTCTCTTGGAGGATATTATGGGTCTATGTTTGCAGATCCGACTTGGGGTTTATATGCCCACATTTTGGCGGGTTCAGTCTCATCACCCATGGCCGCAGCACAGACACCTCCTGTACAGTTTTCACACTCAACGATGTCTGGGTTTTATGAGTTTTCCCATTTTTCGCAGGCCGGTGGGATAGTCAGTCATACACATCCAGGGTCCTTATTCTATGGAGGTGTTTCATCGTCATCAGCTCCTCATCAACCTAATGTAGCTGCTCACGAGAACGACGATGATGAAGGTGATGATGATGTCAGTGAGGAGTCACAACCACTGATACGAAAAAATCTTCCTCGAAACCGACCGCCACCGCCCTACGGAACACATTCGCGTAAATGTAGATTAGATGCGCTAACTTTTACAGAGTTTACCCTACTCCACGTACCTTTGGTAATCATTGTATTTACGTCGTTATTCTTTTATAATCATATTTATGATATCATAAATTCATGTAGATAATAATAACGGCGTTTTTCCCGATATATCAGTGATTGTGACTCCTCGCTGTCATCATCATCACTATCATCGTCGTCGTCGTTGTCGTGAACAGCTACATTAGGTTGATGAGGAGCTGATGACGATGAAACACCTCCATAGAATAGGGACCCTAGAGGTGCATGACTGACTATCCTACCGACCTGCGAAAACTGAGAAAACTCATAAAACCCAGACATCGCTGAGTGTGAAAACTGTACAGGAGGTGTCTGTACTACGACCATGGGTGATTAGATAAACCTGCCAAAATGTGGGTATATGAACTCTAAGTCGAATCTGCAAACATAGACTCATATTATCCTTCAGAAGGGGTTATAAAACTCTGTGATGGTAGTGGCGACGGGATCATAAAACCATGTAACAGTGACGACGGCGATATCGGGTAAGGGAACGACGATGGCAGCATCACATATAACTGCGGAAGGTAAGTCACTGTAGACGGTGACTGCTGTGAAGGTCATGCTAGTGCAGCTGAGGATGAACCAGAAGCATCTGCTCTCCGTCCACGAGTCGGGGTACGATGGTGTTGTGTCGGTGAATGTCTCTGTCGACGTCGCTGAAAGGTCCGCCCTCATGCATCCTCAGAAAACAAACGGTTTCCTGTTACTATTGAACCACTCGTAATAACCGTCAGCAACCATCAAGAGGTCAGTAAAAATGGGCTCTCTATGGAGAAGACGCCGATGTCGATCATTCCACATCACAACCTACTCGTGATGCATCATCAGTCAATCTGTATCGGTCTTGCCGCGTCTATCTGTGTTATGCAACTCGTTCATATTACGAGGTGCTTCCGGAATTGGTTAAAAACAACCAAATTGTCGGAGCATATTATTAGTGGAGTGCCACTCGACGATCGCATAATAAATCAAAGAGATCATCGCCATCCAAACATCTAATGGGCCCCTCAACTCAGGTGAGGTCACCATCCTTACATCATCATTAGAATATGATACTCATTCAAACTAAAACAAATATATATAATTTTTATTAAAATAATAATCTAATTATACAACTATAATCTAAAATAGATTTTTAAACATTAAAATGTGTACCTGTGTGCCAACCTTCTGATCGATTAACACCCTAATTTTTCTAAATCATCATGTAACTCCTAATGATTTTTCCTATCAGTAGACCACCTATTCAAGGAAAACAAAATTTATTATACATTGTATAAAATGATTAATATACGAAATCAGTTTTATAATTACATCAAGAGTAGCAGAAATACAAATGGGTTCTTGACAACGGGACATAAAAAAAGCAATCGATACCATGCCCAAGATTGCAACAGTATGAGACATCTTCCGATAGCGTTTTTCTTGTAGTCAGTGGCTTGACACATCTCCCTGTACAAGAAAGCTAAAACTGCCGAACCTCAACTGAGTGATTCAGCCAGACGAAAGTCACCAAGATGTCGCAACCACATATAGTGAACTTGGTTGCACGATTTGTCTGGCATCAACAACCCTCCTATCAGCTGCAATATGCATCACCATGCATACATTTTAACTTCATCAGCAGAGGCATCCTCGTTCAACTCCCGAAAATTTACATCTAACCAATTTAACGGTATCCGACCACCGTTAAAACTTTCCGAGACACGTCCTAGATAGTCCCGGCACAAAGCAGTCCATGAATCGTACGCCATCCCCGATATCACATCTCCATCCACCGGAAGCCCCAGGTGCATAAAAACATTCTCAAGTGTAATCATGCACTCTCCGCATGGAAGATGAAATGTGTGAGTCTACGGCCTCCACCACTCCACTAAGGCAGAAATAAGATCTAGTTCTATCTTACAGTGACTCTCATATCTACCTATGTGACTGAATCTAGCCTCTACTAAATACGGCAAGACATGGTCAGGTATCACTAACTTAAGGTTCCTAATAAAATGATCTAATACACGTTCTCTCTTAAAATTAAATAATTACAAAAATTAATTTTTAAACTAATAATCATGCATTAAATAAATAAATAAATTATTACTACAAATTTAAATTATATTAAAACGTTAAAATATTATCGTATCAGCAAAATGTCACGATATATGATTTCTATCCAAACGAAGTAGACTTCCTTCCATTTTATATCTGCAAAAAAAAATTAATTAAATAAAATATTAAAAAAAATTAAATACTTAAATAAATTAAAAACAAAATATTAAATATAATAAAATATACCTTAAACAGTTCAAATAGAATATAAGAGTATCTGAGAGAAGTTGAGAGGATTTGGTGTGATGAAAATGATTGTGAATGGGGATATTTATAGGGAGGGAGAAAGGTGTGAACAGCCGGGGTTAGGTGGGTAATTAAACCTAAGGCGCGCCCCGACGCGCCTTACTGATGCGTGTCAGATTTAAAGGTAAAGCGCGACCCCGCGCTATACCCCACGTGATGCCATATTAGCGTAAAGCGCGCTGCAGGGGGCTTGCCATACCCCACGTGGTGCCAAATCAGCGTAAAACGCGCTGTAGGGGGCGCGCCTTACTGCAAAGAGTGTTAGATCGGGAAAAATAATCTGAATGGTGCCTGACAGAAAAATATAAAGTCAAAGGGTGATATATCGGGAAAACGTCGTTATTATTATCCACATGAATTTATGATATCATAAATATGATTATAAAAGAATAACGACGCAAATATAATGATTACCAAAGGTAGGTGGAGTAGGGTAAACTCTGTAAAAGTTAGCGCACCTAATCTAGAATTACAGTACATTAAACAAGATAAAACTGACAAATTTACTTGCATGTATAACTTAAACACATTCTGAAATGAGAAATCATATTATAAGCGCTCAGACGTTCCTAGAACAGTGATAAAGTGACAAAAATGATCCACTCAAAACAGATGCTCATATTACTGCATCTAAGCCAACAATTCAACCTTTTGATCTTTAACAAAATAAAAATAGCAGGAAAAAAAAGAAGCTAGATTCGATTACACTTTGATGGCATATTTCCTTTGTGGGAAATACATTTCTTTCTTCTTTTCCCGCTCCGTCTTCAAAGATGCCTGTATATAAACCCAGAAAACCAATTTAGTAAATTTGAATGGTATCGGAGTAAGTACCAAAACATCAAGAGCAAAGGGAAAACATAAAACCACCTCAAATTTAAATACAACATTAACACGACGAATGTCAAAGTCACAAAGCATAACCTAGGCTTAGTCGCCATGGAAAAATTTAAGGCTTTATATACGCATTAGGACTCTAACTACTAAATTCATTGGTTAAACGAGCATCAATGTCGGTACTTAACTCTAGCATGAGGTCAACATTAAATTTCCTATGTAGTTAACTGGCTGATAGATGATATATTTCAAATATGTACTTCCTCAAGTGAACCATCCAAAAATCTACATTCCTATAACAAGACCTTAAGAGTTAGGATTACAAATAAAAATTGTCCATACCCATTAAAACCAAAAGATAAACTAATATCAACTGGCATTTAAAAGACACCCCTTAATTTCATGCTAGGCTCAGACATTTTCAATCCCTCCACGGTTACTACAAATTACCCAAAGGCTATCCAAAATCACTTAGTCCTAACTAAGTCACCTGGACTCTTCATTTTTCTTAAAGCACCCATATCTAAAACACTTGTTTCGGACACATGGAGACGTGAATATGACATCAAGGATCCTCCAAATACATTGCGAATGCCCATGTCGAGTACATACTCATATCCAACACTTGCACCAGGCTCCCAAACCTATATTCTATGTTTTGGCATTGAAATAAACAAAGACAACTAGCTAGCAGAATTTCCTTCAAATTTTCCAAGAGTTAATATCACAAATTCACCATACTCTCAGGCTTGGCATATACACGTAACATTAAAGTGTTCAACCAAAAAATTCCAAAAATCTCAATAAGTGTAAACAAAAACTAAAAGGACCTGATGTTTAGTAAGGCGGCGACGGATGGCACGAGTCTTCTTGGGACGGAGATCCAAAGGGAGGAACTTCTTCTTCTTATAAGCTTCTCTGAAAGCCGATTTCTGCTTCTGCGAAATCACCGTCAAAACCTGCGCGATTGATAACCTCAGAACTTTTCTGCAGCCAAAAGTGATTACAAATACAGTTCAGGATCCAATAAGAGGGAACCGGGAATTAAAGTGAAAGCAAAGGGTGAAATGGTCAATTCCATACATCTTGGAGAGCTTGTTCGGGGCACCGCCGGTGACCTTAGCGACGCGAAGGAGAGCGAGCTCTGCTTTCAAGTCCTTCAATTGGCTTAGCAAATCCGTCTTTGACTTGTTCCTTACGTGAACCTTTATCCTCGCTTCCAAACCAAAAGATCTTCGAATTATCCATTGAAAATCACTTTGAATTACTTTTTAAAAAAAAAACAAAAAGAGCTGAATTTGAGGTTTTCTCTTACTGAGTTTTGCTGTCGCGGCTACACTAATCTCTTACTCGAAACCCTAAAAATTGCGGAGGAGGAACGTAAGGCCTTTGGATATGTAGACTTCGATAAGGCTTTCCTTATTTCGGGCCAAGAATACTTTTACATTTGGGTTTTTCCCCCCAAATAGGGCAGCCCCAAAAAATTTGGGAAATTATGACACATACAATTTTATTTCTCGATCTACAAAATTTTCTACGGTGCATGAAACTCATCACGTTGAGTTATCATGTTTTAATAAAAAATATTTTTTATTAAAATTCATCAAACTCGACATGATGAGTTCTATGAACACTGCAAAAAATATCGTAGATCCCAAAATAAACTTCTACTTATCTTATTTTCTTAAATAATTTACCCATTTATCCTATTGGACAAAAAACCCATTACATTTGGGTTCGGATTAGACATGGGTCGTGAGACCCGTTGGGCTCTTTGGGCAGCATATTTTAACTTTAATTTCTATTAAGCATTAAAAAATGTCTAGATTTAATTATTAAAAACATAAATATTTTTAATATAATCCATGATATGTTTGATTATATTATTAATCACTGAATATTAATTACTTATAGGTTATAAATTTAATTCAATATTTTTTAAATGGAAGAGGAGGCCATAACGCCATTACAAAGCTTTATTCATCCTCAACAAAGGAGGACCAAAAACATCTCTATGAAAAACGTCAATTAAAGAAGTGGGAAAAGAATCAAAAGTAAGAACCGAGCCATCCGGTGGAGAGTCCATTTCAGCAATGAAATCGGTCGTTGAATTTGCTTCACGGTAAATCTTCATAAAGTCAAAGGACTAAGGCCTTTGACAAAGGGTTGCCACTTGCCGAACTAAAGCCAACGGACTGTCAAATGAAGGAGGAGACAAGAGTGCATAAGCTTCACTACTATATGTCTGAACAATCACTCTTTCTGCGCCTTGTTGCCAAGCTAAGCGGAGGCCTTTCAGGATTCCCCATAGCTCAGCTTTAAGTACTTAAACATGGCCAACATATTTGCAAAAAATGCAACCAAGCAATCACCTGCAGAATTTCGAATAAGACCGCTGTAAGAGCCCAATTTGGTTACATGGGAGATGGCTTCATCCGTATTCAAAGGTTGCGTTCATCGGGAGTAAAAGAATTGTTATTATTGCTTCCCAATTTCAGGTTCGAACATATCAGAAAATAGAACTTCGGTGACCAGAGATAGAAGAGAGGCAGAGAAGATGGTTAGGTCATCTCAGAAGAAAAGAGGAAAACAAAACCAAATGAGAGAAAGAAGAGAAAGGAACTTGTGAATTTTATTGATTAAAACTCATCTGAGTCGAACACAAAGAAATGGGCTACTTAAATAGCCCAATACACAAAGACAAAGACCAACAGAAATAATAAACCCAAAAACTAACTAACAACCGTTAGTTATTTACTTTGATATTTTCTTGGTTCATCTTTCCCTCTAAAATTTCAAAAAATTAAATAACCCACAGACGGCGCCGCATCGGACGAAATTGAGCTGGAGGAATAGGCTTTATGAGAATGTCAGCAATTTGTTCGGCTGAAGGCACAAAGTTAATAAAAAGTTGCCCAGCTGAAACCTTTTCACAAACAAAGTGCAAATCTATCTCAACATGCTTGACACGAGCATGATGAGTAGAGTTTGCAACCATGGAGATTGTAGACGAATTATCACACTAGATTACTGGCTTGCCAGTAAGAATCACATCAATCTCTTGTAACAATTGCTCAGGCTAAACCACTTTCGACACAGCATTGGCGAGACTACGGTACTCAGCCTCCAAAGTAGACCGAGAAACAACCGGCTGCTTTTTGGATGATCATGACACAGGATTCCCGTCAAGAAAAATGCAATACCCTACAGTAGATCTCCTATCCTCAACTGAAGCATCCCAATCAGCATCAAAATAGCACACAATATCAAGAGTTTCAGCTTGTTGATAATATAAAACCAAAATCCATCGTACCATGTAGGTATCTAAGGATACGTTTTACAGCCCACCAATGAACCTCACTCAGATTATTCATATGCTGGCTAACTTTGTTGACAACAAACGCTATATCTGGCCTGGTCAGCGTGACATACTGCAGTCCAACAACAATGCTGCTATACAAATATATGTATGTAGGAGTAGGATTTACATTAGACAAATCAGCTCTAGCTAACAGCTCCGTAATATATCGCTTCTGTGTGAGCATCAGCCCACCAGAATGTTGTTGTATCTCCATCCCAAGAAAGAATTCAGATTGACCCATATATTTGAGCAAAAACTCACGATTAATCTGATAGACAACATCATCAACCTCTTCTGAATTGCTGTTAGTTATGATAATGTCATCAACATAGAGCATTAACAAAAGCATGGTCTTTGAACCATTTCGAATGAAAAGGGATGAATCAGCCTTTGACCCAATAAAACCTAACTTGGTTGTGAGAAATGTCTTCAAAGTGTTGTACCAGGCCCTTGGAACTTGCCGAAGACCATAGATAGCCTTCTTAAGACGACAAACAAGTTATCACCATTAGGACCATATTGTTCAAACCCTAGTGGCTGACACATGTAAATCTCTTCAGACAGCTGACCATTCAGAAATGCATTATTAATGTCGATCTACCGTCTCGTCCATCCCTGAAGAACCGAAATGTCAAAAATAGTTCTTATGATGGTGGATAGAACAACTGGACTAAATGTTTCATGAAAATCATTACTGGTTATCTGAGAATAGCCCTTGGCAACCAACTAAACTTTAAACCGATCAACAAACCCATTCGATTTCCTCTTAACCTTTAACAACCGTCTCGTCCATCCCTGAAGAACCGAAGTGTCAAAATAGTTCTTATGATGGTGGATAGAACAACTGGACTAAATGTTTCACGAAAATCATTACTGGCTATCTGAGAATAGCCCTTGGCAACCAACCAAACTTTAAACCGATCAACAGACTCATTCGATTTCCTCTTAACCTTGAACAACCAATTACACCCAACTGGTTTTCGTGTAGGTGGTCAAGGCTGAAGTTCCCAGGTAGCATTATGAAGAAACACATCAAACTCAGCCTTAAACAACTCTCCAGGCAAGCTGCTTGAGAGTTTCAAAAACACTAGAGGGCTCGGTTGTATCTTCTGTCAAATACGTCTTGGGCTTAAAGATTCCATCTTTAGCTCAAGTAACCATGGAATGAGTATTCCTAGGAACAGTAACCACGGGTGAGGATGAAGACAGTAAAGTGAATCGAAGAAATGGAGGGAGATGGAAGTGAAAAAGTAGATGATGTGAATGGAGAAATTGGTGAGATGGAAGAAGAATAGCGAGAATAAGATAAAGTCAACATAGCTAACCCCGATGGAAAAACAAGTGAAGCAGATGAGTGATGAACAGTTTGAGTAACATCAGGTGGAGGATATGGTAAAGATGAAGAATGTGAATGTAACCCCCACAGACCGTTAAGGGTAACCAAATTCGATACGGGGTGTCACATTTGGGCCACCGAAGCGACCCACTGTAAAAATAACGGAAAATTTAAAACTTTTATTGAAACGTGTAACTTATAAAATCAGTTGTCACTATTTCAAAAATAAAACAGATTTCCAGACTCGTATATAAATCAAAATACAATTATATGCCCCCTAATCACATGTACCATACTCTGCAACAACGCCGGATGAACTCCCTTATTGAAGTCGATAGATGCACTGGTACAATTCTTTTAACCTGAAAAGGTGAGTAATAGAGTGAGCTTTGGAAAGCTCAGTAATACAGAACTACCAGATGATGCTGATGAATGTGCAGATACAAATAAATATATATTTCCTTATTGTTTCCGAACATGTACAGATTTTTATGCTGAGCATAGATCTTACCGCAATGAGCTTTCAGTTCAAAGAAATATTTCGGATGATTGAGTTCAGGAGATCAGAATAGGTTTTCTAGTGTGTTCCCAAAAACCATGTAACTTTTCAGATATTTTTAAAACATATATATATATACCCCTATCCCTCACGAACAAAATGTGTAGGTTCCCCAGAACCATACAACCACGTCACGTCCAGTAAGGCCCTGAGCACACAGCCGATGAACCTCCAAGTAATCTTCCTCCAACAATACCCCCCAATAAAATATGTTTCGTCCGTAAACGGATATATCAAAAATCAAAACATAATTCAAGTCAAGTATCATATCACAATCCAGGTCATGTAACATATCAGAATCCAGGTAATGTATCATATCAGAATCCATGTCAATATCAGATCATAATCCAGGTCAGGTATCATAACAGAATTCAAATTTGAAATCAGATAAAATATTCATGTAATTAGGGAACACACCAGAGTTTACAGGTATTACTTAGAGGTATTGTATCAGGCAGAGAAACACAGTTCTTCAGTATGTCGATAGAATGTTAGAATTTAGAATCACTATTGGAAGAGTTCATTAACTGAAAGAATTATCAGTTATTCATAATGTGAATTATCAGGATATTATCTTATTCAGACAGTTTTCAGAAGTTGTACGTAACCAGAAGGGTATTCAGAATCCTTTACATCCATGTCAATTGATCAGATAATCGAACAACTTGAGAACGAAGATTCAGAACCTTAACAATCTATATCGACTGGTCAATTCATTTTCCATCTAGGGTATTTACTCTTTAATACCACAAATTCTTGTCCGTAAACCATTTTCGGAATCATCGCTGAAGAAATCTTCCAATGTCTTTATTTCATTTCCACGCTTCCACAATATCATGAAATACTGATGTACTTGATTAATTTGTTCATAACCCATTGTAATTGTACACTACGTAAACTCATCAGAGTTTCCAGACTTATCCAAATCACTTATTAAATCCTCAGTCATTGAGGTTACCTAGTTCATTTAGCAGTCATGTCCATTCCAGTTACTTCAGGATTTTCCAAAGTAATTCAAACGTTCCTGAATTTCAGATACATGTTGTACTTCCATTCAATTCAATTTGGTCTTCGTGGTTGATTTGTCGAACAAACGTCCAATTCTTAGTACTGAATACGATCTAGAGCTGAGCTGAACTGAATACTTCCAAAATTTATCATCGAGCCAAACTTGAGAAGACGAACACATGTTCCAGTAATATCTATGTCATTCAGGTATTGATATAGCTTTAGGGTTGATCTATTCACTTAAATTATTTTCCATTACCTTTAAAGGTAGTCCAATACTTATGCTTACTTGGATTCCTTAATTAATCCAAGACATTTACTTAATTTAGGCCATAAGGGTATTTTGGTAATTTTGATGTTCAGTTTTATTCTATTCATTTCAGAGCTCGAGGATATTCAATCATTCCTGAGCTTGGTGACATTCTTGAGTCATTTACATTACAGGGGTATTTTGGTCATTTTACAGATTCAGCATATTTCAATCCTTTCATTCCGTCCGATCTTACTATTAAATTCAATCTTATCATTTATTTCAATCCTTTCAAACAATTATGACAACATAATACCCCCGATAAATTACTCTTCAAGTATTTACTCATTATTTGAATATTTTCGGGTCAAGTGTCTTCTCAGATTTTACAAACGGAAAATCAGGAATTTTCCTGAACTAAGTCAGGATCTTAACAATCAAATCCGTACTTAATCGAGTTAAGTATGAATCCTCAAAGTATTTTCTCATTCAGCGTTAACTAGGACTATTTTACCTCTCAAGGGCATTTCCGTAATTTCTTAACCAGATAATTTCAATATTAGCTCTTAACGAATATAATATAATTTACAGATCATATGATCAATTGCTTTCTCGAACATTCTCTTATCTTGAAATGATTACTTAATAGAATTCTAATATCTTACATAAACCCTCTAGTGGTTAAAAACCGGTTATCCGTATTTCATAAGCAAAATCTAGTATTTCTTAAACACATCTGTAGTTTTATCATATCAATATATCCTTTCAGAGTTATTAATCAACTTCCAGGGATAATTATTGACATCTTACAACTTAAGGGTATTTTCGTAATTTTACCCTACCGGAGTATTATCATAATTTCGCATCCAAATACCTTTAACATTTAATCTTTGATGAAATAAACTATAAGTTACAAATCCATGTTGATTTCTTTATCACTAAGCACATAACTTGTAATCTAATTCTAACAATTCCTCAATCTCTTATAATAATCATCTGTGCCAAATTTAGTTACATACTTGCTACTGTATTCGTATCAAGTGTAGATCTTCATTAATTACACATATGATACCAAACATTTCCATTCATGCATTTACCAATACCAACATGTTCTATAAAGCATAAAGAGGTAGTAAAGTATTATCTCGATTTTCGTGCAATACTGATCGACCATAAAATTCCATTCGAACGCCCTCGATCTTGAAATCATCATCCAATATTTCCTTGGATCCATATCAACAAAAATTACATAAAAAACGGAGCTTAATTACGATAAACGGATCGAATCGGATGATAAATCAGTGAAAAATAGCTTATCGGGTTCGAATTTGGCGAAACGAACTTCGGATTCGGATTCAAGACGTCGAAAGCATAAAATATGACTTTTCAAAAATTTGAAATTTTTGGTCAAAATCAAAGTCAACGGGTTTGACTACCAATTTCGAGGTCTTCGGGTCTGAATTTCAAAAAACGGACTACGGAATCGGATTTGGAACTTCGAAAAATGTCAGGATAGGTATACTCGGTCAAAGTCAAAGGTCGTTTAATGCCCGGTCAAAGTTTTGGTCAAACTAGTCAACGGTCAATGGGTTAACGGGGTCGGGTCGGGTTAACGGGTCGGGTCGGGTTAACGAGTCGGGTCGGGTTATGACCGGTCAACTATGCACCAAAACCGGTCAAACCGGTCATTTGGATCATCCCCATGCGCAGTGGCGGCGCGTGGGTACTCTTCCGGCAGTGTAAAATTCTCAAAAAAATTTCTAAAAAATTATTTTGAGCGATTTCGAGATACTTACAAAGCTCGGTTCAAATTTTTGAACGGCGGAGAGCTCGATTTCAACAAATCGGAAACTTTGACCGCTTCACCTCCTCACGCGCCGCCGTCGATGGAAACCAAGGATGACACCGGCAGACTCGGAACGATGCAAGGAACACGATGGTGTAGGAGGTGTCGTAAACGGATGACTTGATCGTCGTGAATCGATGAAAAACCAACTAAAACCGAGTTATTACCGACGATACTTCTGACTGAAATTAACGACGAACGATGACGATTCACGACGAAAGGTTTGAGGGGTTTTGTTCCTCGGTTGACAACGAACGCGATGGTGGTTTCAGCTCGTCGATCGGAGGTCGGACGGTGAGTAAATCGGAGTTGAAAGTTGGTTGATCGGAGAGAGAAAACTGGGAAAATTATGCTGACATGCACACAGGGGAGAGTTTATAATTCTCTTCTATAGAAAATTGGGTAAATTAATAGTTTAGCCACTAAATTTCCTACACTTCTTAAAATAGTCTGCCAACTTTGAAAATATTCAATTTAATCCTCAATTTCTTCCAAAATTCCAATTAAATTCACCACTTTAAAATTTCTTAAATTTAGCCCCTAAATTGGGGTGTTACAATTCTTCACTCTTTAAAAGAATTTCGTCATCGAAATTTATTCATGTCACATTATTGCAGAAATGAAACTTCCATCAGTTTTTTTTATATCTTCTATGTAGCTCTTATAGAAATACGGATCCTCCACTAATCCTTAACCAGTTGAATATACCTTCTTATCAGAACTCTCCCTCATTTCAATAAAAGAATCCGAACGAAAATTTTCTTAAGTAATCAATTCAGCCTTGGTCACGTTAATAGGCTACTAAAGCAGTAGCATATCCCAATTTCATTTCTGGACTCGAGTCAGAATTTCTCGGATAATTAACTCTCACATGGATCGTGAGGTACTTTACAACATTAAAACAAATATTACTGGTATTCCTTTTTGTATAAGTATATAGCCTTAACGGATAGAAACTTCGGTTTACTCGTTATAGATAGGGACTCAGCCCTGGAGTTCCGGCTCAGAGAGATACGATTGCAGTCTAGGGGCATGTATTGATCAGATATATTTTGACATTCGACCGGCCGGTCTAACTTGAAAATTTTGACTCAAACCATAGCTCTGATACCACTAAATGTAACCCCCACAGACCGTTAAGGGTAACCAAATTCGATCCGGGGTGTCACATTTGGGCCACCGGAGTGATCCACTGTAAAAATAGCGGAAAATTTAAAACTTTTATTGAAACGTGTAACTTATAAAATCAGTTGTCACTATTTTAAAAATAAAACAGATTTCCAGACTCGTATATAAATCAAAATACAATTACATGCCCCCTAATCACATGTACCATACTCTGCAACAACGTCGGATGAACTCCCTTATTGAAGTCGATAGATGCACTGGTACAATTCTTTTAACCTGAAAAGGTGAGTAATAGAGTGAGCTTTGGAA